CTGGGGGGCCCCTTGGGGGGCCCCGTGGGGGGCCCCTGGGGGGCCCCCCAGGTCTAGCAGCTCTTCTTCATAGCTAGAGATTTGTGGGCACGTCAATGCAGGCGGATGCTGCAGCTGCGTGGCCTCTGGCGGCAGCAGCTCCCACTGCAGCAGATCTGCTGCTGCAGCACAACACAGCGCAGCAGCAGCAGCAGCAGCAGCAGCAGCAGCAGCAGCAGAGAAGGAACAGAGTGAGTATGCAGCACAGCACAGGAACAGACTAAGATACATATGCATGCGCATGCATGCATCTACGATACCCCGGCTGTGTTATATAATAAACTGCAGCAGCAGCAAGCTCTCTATCTGCTGCTGCAGTACAGCAGGGGGCCCCTCCTCGTACCCTGTAGAGGCTGCTGCTGCAGCAGCGGCTGAAGGGGGGGCCCCTGGGGCCTCCCCGTGGGTACAAAGGCGGGGAAGCTCGTGTGCAGTCGGGGCCCCTGTGGCTCTGTCTCTGCATGCAGCCCCAAAGGGGCCCCTGGGGGCCCCATGGGCCCTGGGGGCCCCAGGGGCCCTGGGGGCCCCAGGGGCCCTGTGGGCCCTGGGGGCCCCCCAAAGAACAGGGTACGGGGCATGTCAGGGGGGCCCCCAACAGGCGGGGGAGGAGCTCGAGCCTGCAGCTCCAGCGCCAGCGACTGCAGCGATGCAGCAGAAGGAAATACAGTAGGCGGTGGTGGGGGGGGCCCCATGGGGGGCCCCCCTAGATACACCCCATGCGAGGCCCCTATACCAGATCCTAAGGGGGCCCCTGCGGGGGCCCCTAGATGCACCCCTATGGGGGCCCCCATGGGGGCCCCTGTGGGGGCCTCTGTGGGGGCCCCTGTGGGGGCCCCTATGGGGTCCTCTGTGGGGGCCCCCATGGGGGCCCCTCCTGCGGGTGCCTCTGTAGGGGGCCCCCCCTGCTGTGTGTGCCCTTCCCCGGTGAAGGTTGTTGGTGGTATGTGTTGTGTTGCTTCAGCGTTTGCTGCAGCAGCAGCTGGGTGTGTGTGTGTGTGTGTGTGTGTGTGTGTGTGT